TTTTTATCGAACCAGTGAATACAGAAGAAAAAACGTTGCAGGTTTTTACTTCGTTAAATAATATTCCCTATGTTTTAAATATCTCAGACAAACAATATATTTTACGTGATGTAGAATTTGAAGGTATATTCAGAAACACCAAATGAGACATTTCATAGCTTATTGTCGACGAGACAATAATAAATGGGAAGAATATAACGGCTTGTCTAATAAGAGATCTCACTGTTAAGATACAAAAAAAGTTTGTGTTCCTTTACTATTTTACACCATTTAATCTTTTATTTTTTGTTGCGTTTATAAAAATTTGTTCGTTATTATTGTAAATATATTCTTAAAATTTACTGTAATAATGTAGCTGCCAAATATTAAAAGTAGATCAATTGACCTGATGCTTAAAGTTTTGGAAGAATATATTCATATTTATACAAATGTATTAGAGAATCTGCTTCTAAATCCTGTACTAGAAAGTCGTACGTTTTATCAAATTTGTTTAATCTCCGGCCAATTCGCAGAAACTAACATGTATATTTGTCAATAAGAACAATTGACGCCGGATTTTCAATTTCCACTAAAAGAATCTTATGTCGCAACGCATCGCAATATACCGCAGGACTCAAGTAGTACTTTTAATCTCGAAGGTAAAATTTACCTGAGGGATTAAGACCACTACTTCAGTCGCAAGGTATATACGATATTTTTCGTACTTCCGAAACTGAAACACTTAGTATGTATGGAGTTAGAGAACGCGTTCTTTCAAAAAATCGCTGCTTAACAAGTTGCCATAGGAACGTTGCGTTGGTACGACAATCTCTATGGTATGGTAACAAAAATAATTTGGAAACTTGTCATTGCTAGTGTCATAATTTTGGTGGTGGGTGACAAAAGTGTATTGGATATTGATAAAAAGCAGCCAAAGTAGGTAAAGAATTGAAATCCAAAAAACTATATGAGTAGCAGTACGATGCATTTAAGAAGTAGTGCTGCGTACAAAATGTGGAACAACCTACTGAAATTGCCTTGTTAGTAATTTCATCCTTCCGGGATTTTCGTCCAAATTTAATCCAGGTGGGACAAAAAGTGACACTTCAGTACTTGTCATAATGGAGTGAAGTTGTCACTTTAGTCTCGGAAGTACGAAAAATTCAAAAAAAAAAACTGACGCAATTTTGCAAAAATGTCGGCTATTTCAGCGCAGCCTGCGGCTGTATGGCGAACTGCGCGATCAGAGCCAGAATAGCGACCAGTGTTGCCAATCTTGAGGAAATTTCCTCAAATTTGAGGAAATTTTGAAGATTTGAGGAAACTAAAAATAATTTTGAGGAATTACATGCATGTTATACTTAGAGGAATTTTAGTCCTATAAGCTAGAGTACATCTGATACATTTAAAAATGTACATAAACATAAAATGTGTGTAGCTTCGTTTTATTATTTTTAATTTTCAGTTCAGCCGTGTGCCGAATGCCGATCCGGGAGTCGGGACCCGGGTTAGTAGTTACTAGTTAGTACAATTAGCCACAGCCACAGCCGAACGTTAACGGCTAACCTAACCTCTAAGTTTAACCAAAAACCTGTCGTGTTTTGGTTAATGCTAATGATTTGTTTTTTATTTAGCAAATAAATTATCATACGTAATACGTGCAATGACCTACTTATTGGAGTTTGTAAATAATTATTTTTACTAAAAATGTCACTTAGAATTATTGTAAGTGGATTTCAAAATTTACAGAATTTTGATACCCTACACTGTACTGAAATGGACCTGGACACTATACATATAGATCGAGATCCTTCTAATTCTCATGGAAGCGATACGGATTCTCGAGAGCATCTAATAGCGCAGAGAGAAAAAGTGTGCAATTAAAAAAAAACAACGAAATATCGTCGTAAACTCGTAAATACCAAGTAGGTAAGGTGTTATATTTGCGAGAATGAATGTCAAATCTCAGCTTATTTTGCTTGTTTACCACCTAGTATTCAAGAATATTTACAATAAACACTGTTGTATCTGTAAAACAATTTATTTTTTGGCCAATAGCATTAACAATTCATACATCTGTTACTGTTGGACATCACGTCATTTATTTTCTTCTTCTGTAATTCTGATCTCCTTCTCAACTTCTAATTTTTCTCGTTCCAATGTTGCTTTTTGTTGCTGCAGGTCATACTCGATTTCCATTTTCGCTCTTCAAGTTTTTTCACTTCAATGTCATAATCCTGCTCTTGTTTTCGTTTGATAAGCTCATCCTCAGGAAGCAGCGCACGACGCTTTTTTCTTACTGTTATGGGTCCTGGAGCTGTATGTTCTACAGTATGTTAATGGAATCTATACAATTTTATTCTTGCCATACTAGTTACTTGCTTACCTGTCTGATTTAAGAGTTCCATGTCTGCAGTGTGTTTTTCCACATTCGCTGCTGTGACCCGAGGTCTTGCTGTATTCAGTTGGGGTGTGGAAACTTCATTAGAATTGTCTGTTTCATCTTCATCTGCACTGCGGGAATCAGCATTTGTGGTTCGGGTTATAGGCACATTATTATTAAATTAAGAAAACGTTGATTGGTCATTTTAACTCAATGGTATGCGCACTTACCGTTTTTGCACAGCTACTGTTCTGTTGCAGAAACATAATTTCAGTGATGTAAACACAAACGTAACCTCACTTTTTCAAATACACCGACTCTCATAACCCAACCGTAAAGCTATGTTGGTTTATTCTCAAGGTTACACGTATCCACATGATAATACGTAAAATGGGAGAAGCCTAACGTAATGCTATAAGGATAAGTCATACGGATACGGATACACAGCTCTGTCCTAAGTGTCTAATACATCTTATGTACATTAATTTTTACGTACTTTTTGTGATCTTTACAGCATAAGTTTTTAAAGCGTAGCAAACGTCGTGCAATTAGGCGGGATACTTTGACAACGAATCACAACGTATTTATATAAAATATTGGCTTGCACAGTGTTGCCACTTTTTGTAGGTATGTACATTTACTTAAACATCAGTAACGGTTGCCACTTGAAATAGTATTGTACATTATTAGCCAGGTAAGTGAGTTTTTACTGGCGATAGGAGAAGTTGACTGGTGAGCCACTTGAAAAGGCAAAACGAAATCAACCGAATAACCAGGGCAGGCAGTGCAATGATTGCGGTAAGATTCATTTTGAAAACCAAACTTGTAAACAGAAAAAGATTAAGTGTTTTAAATGCAATACAGTAGGGCATTACGCAAATAAATGCAGAAAAAACATTAAACAGGCAGGTAGCAATTACGTAGATACTACTAATTCAGATGTCGAGGTTGAGCAACTTCAGATTTTTAATATTAAGTCCAAGTCTAATGTAGATGAACCAATTAATGCGGCTGTAAAGGTTAATGGTAAGAATTTAGATATGCAGGTCGATAGTCTTACTGATGTAAGCTTAATTTCGAAAGATTTATTTACAAGTAAATTTGACGAGTGTCAATAATTACAAGCTAGCAAGATTGTTTTAAAATAATACACAGGTAAAACTACCGTACCCGTAGGTTTTTTTACTGCTAACTTGGAGTTCAACAATGTAGTTAGATGTTAGAGTGATAAATGTGCATGTTGTTGACGGCGGTGGACCACCATTATTGGGCAGGGTTCGCCGATATATATCCTTCGATATGTATCGGATATATGTATATCTATGATATGTATCACGATATTTAAAATGTTAAGAGTTGATATATATCAGACAGGAAATCAAATCCGCTTTCTTTGCGCAATCTGACACTAAATGAGTCACGCATCGTTGTGCGGTTCTGAGAACATAAATGATCTTTTGTTTTGACTACAGCAATGAGCAAACAGTGAATACCTCGCAGTCTTTGTTGTTGTTGTGTCACACACAGAAGACAGAACCTGTATTTTTTTCGGGTTTTTTTCTTTTTGTTTTTGTGAGTGAAACAGTAGTGATAAATCAGTTCAAATTCTCAGTACAATGTCAAAACGTATGTACCCCGTTTGGGACGACTTTGATTGCATTCAGAAACCTGGTAACAGTGGAAAATGGGCTCGATGTAAACATTGCAAAAAGGAGATGCAGGGTATACCAGAAAGACTCTGTAAACATATCGAGAAGTGTACAAAAAAAGCCATCTTTACAAAGAGAAGGTGATGAAACAGGTAATTTTTCGATTATAGTTTGTTGTGCCCAGTTTCAACATGAATTTATTTCCAATTCAAATTTCAGTTAAGAATTTTTCACAGGTAACCAACCAAACAGGCCTATCGTTGCTAATCACCCTCCGGCAAAGAAAATAAGTAAATCATCGGAACTGAAAGTTGCTGCAAATGCAGATGTGGTTGCAACATCTGCTGCCTATGCAAGAAAAATAAACTTGCAAATTGGTAGATATTTCTATGCAACAAACACCCCCTTCAATCACGCATGTCATGATGAATTTAAAACTATGTGTCAAATACTGAGATCGGGATTCAAACCACCAAGTGCCAGAAACTTCGGAGGAGAGATTTTGGAAGATGTTCATGCAACACTGCAGGAAAAATGCAAACAAGATCTACAGGGACAGGTCGTGTCAATGGTTTTGGATGGCTGGTCCAATATTCATAACGAACCCATTGTATGCTGCTCAGTGGTAACACAAAATGGAGAATCGGTCTTGGTGGAAACGGTGGATACGTCAGGAAATGCACATACAGCTGATTACTTGAAGGAAGTCGCGACAGAAAGCATCAAGAAAGCTGAGGAGAGATTTGGAGTCAAAGTAAGAAGTTTTGTGACCGACAACACCGGAAATGTCAAGAAAATGCGAAGCGAGATGGCTAAAGATAATGACGAAATCTTGCAGTACGGATGCTCGGCTCACCTCTTGAATTTGTTAGCTCATGATATACAGTGTACAGGATAATATTCTTAAAGTAATAAAATACTTTCGTAATAAGCCTGCAGCTTGGTACAAAGAAGCAAAGGGAAAGAAACTCACCATGCCCCTGGAGGTTAGGTGGAATACAGTCACTGACTCTATTAGATCGTATCTTGAGAATCGAGGAATTTTGGTTCAGGTGTGCCAGGATCATAAAGACTATATCGATAAAGATATTTTTCGAATTGTTAATGACATACACATAACAAATAATGCTGGGGATTTCATGCGTAGAATGATTTTCCGATTGCTGTGGCGTTAGCCCGTGGTCTTCCACTTTCTACTATATTATTCGAATATATTTTATGCAGTCCGGTTTCTACAGCAACAGGTGAGCGAAGTTTCAGTAGATTGAAATGTATCGAGAATTCTCTACGTACTACTATGGCGGGTGATCGTTTGAGTAGTCTCGTTCTCCTAAATTGTGAAAAGGACTTGTTGGCTATGAGAGAATACGACGGTTTAGTTACCACATGGAGCGCCTTGAAGGAACGGAGAGTGGTTACAATTATTGGACAAAAATATATTTTATTTTTTTTATTTGTTTCAAAATTTTTTTTAGTTTTCATTATTATTAATCTTATTACGTTATTATACATATTCTTAATTTCTTATTACGAGTTACGACTGAGTATGTTATTCTTTTTCCTTTAATAAATTTTATTCTCGATTTTAGTCTGCAAAATTTAGTCTCTATACCCCTCCCCACTCGAGTACCACTAGGTACGGCCCTGAGGGCACCTAAGCAGTTATCAAATTTATATTTAATGTTATCGTAGAAAACGTAATATGAATTAATATTAGTATTACATCACCAACTGCTACGATTATAAGCTGCATATCTTAAAATTTTTAAAATCCTGTCTTCTAATTTTTTTAAATTTCGATAAGCCAGCTTACAACAGCATCCACAATTATTTTTCGAGCAGTATCATTCAGTTTATTTGTGGTGTCAAAAGTTTGAAAAACGTAACTTCCTGTATGGAATCCTTTAATAACGTTTAACAAGTCCTGAAAAGAGTGATCAATTAGAAGCTTCTTAAATAATAGCCACATGATGTTCTAAGCATACAAAAGAACAACTGCTTGTAGTTTCTTCAGACAACAAATATGAGTTGCAAGTGCTAGCAATTGATAAATCGAAGCCGCATTTCCCTTTTCATTCAGCAACCATAAAGGCCCAGTATTTGTAACATCTGAACTGTTAGGAGCTACCTGCTATAAAAACAAAGCTTACATGAAAATACAAAATACATTCAAAATCAAAATTTTCCTAAGTAATTACAAACAAATTCCGAGCCATGCACCGATTCGTCTTCATATGAACATATGAAACACCCCAAAAAAATAAAAAAAATGCAACAAAATCAAAATCACAGAACTAATTAGCAAGTAATTCGCAAAAAATCCACCTAATCACATTTTGATTGTAAATTGGTGCTTCGCTAAGTTCATGCAGACATATTTTTGCGAGATGATAGGGAATGCTTTTGAATAAACGCCCCCTTTAATATTAAAAAAATATTTACCTCCAAATAAATTTCTTGAGCTGCAACACAAAGAATGTAAAATAGTATTGAGGAAGTTTTTTCTGAACTAATAGTAATAGGTATTATGGAAAAGGACTGTCAAAACATATATTGATATTTCATGCAGAAACGCATATAGTAGGATAGGTAATATGAAACTACATGGAGTTTAACTTTACAGCGTTTCTGATTAGTCTACTATTTTCAATGTTAAAAGGAATTGCGTTAACAGGAAAGTGCCAAGATTTCTTGATAAAAGTACCTACCTAAATGTTAACACACCAATTGTATTGTGTAATCTAACTATAAGTTATTACAACATACGAAAATAATAAAACTACCATGATAAAATGTAAGGAATTTGAATTGATTGAATCTACAATTGTAAATCATTAAAATGAAATCGAGTTTAGTTGAAATTTACCATTGGTAGGCAACAATTTAATTTGGTCGATTTAATCATTACCTTTTCTCTGAGTATAGGTACTGCTTCTTTCAATCTTCAAATCTCAATTAATGTTGTCCGTCACCGTAAAGAACCATTATTAGGGTGGTTACTCGAGTATATATCGTGCCTGCATGTCTTTACTATCATCTGTCAACCTTTGGCTTAATAACGTTGTGTTACATTTTCAGTGAGCACATTAAACAACGGTGGACAATTAGTTCTCCAATAAACGCCATTACAGATAGTACCACAGCAAAAAAAAAACCACAAGTGCTCAAAAGGTAATGCTACCATATTTCCTGCGGTAGATCCCTTTTTTAGAGTCTACGTAAAATTTGTGATCTCATTTTATCGTGCAACCTGAATCGAGGGTGGTAAAATGTGATTATCAATATCGCAGTATGCAATCATAAACTTACTGGGTTATTTTATAAAATATCGTTACGATACGATGCGTAGGGGAACGATAACCGTTCAGTGCCTGAACGATGATGCTCGGAACGATATCGCTAAACAATCGTATTTTGTAACTCCTTCCGTTACGAGTTGACATTGAACGCTTGCCCGAACGAGCAGCTTTGTATTTATGAATGAATAGTAACACTTGCTGCAAACTTCATGTTGTTCTTGCCACCGGTTTGACAGTTCAACTGCTGACATTTCACGTGTGTTTGTTGTGATTCAGTGTTGTTAGCCATTCACCACGTGCTGCCGTATTCAAAAAAGTTACAAAATGAGTACACAGATTACGTCCAAAAAGGCCCGCTCGTCGAAAATAACTGCTGGACAATATTCGCTGTATTTAGAAGAACTGCAAGCGAATGAATCGTTTCGAACTATTAAGTTCAACCCCAAGAACCCCAGCATCTTGGATGAAACGTGGAATTCGCTTGCAGTGAAGCTAAATGCTGCAGGTGGACCCATTAAAACGGTCCCCCAGTGGAAAGAAGTGAGTTATTTCTCCATTGTTTGTTATATTATACTTATTGTACACATTTTCAGAGATTTGCGGACTGGAAGTGTAACGTCAGGAAGAAAGCCCGAAAGCTTGAACTTTCGAGGGTTCGAACTGGCGGAGGACCACCTGATGTTCCACTTTCAGATCTGGAGAATCGACTGCTGAATCTGAGCGGTAGGGCTGTCGTTAATGGCATTGAAGGGATTCGGGAACTTGGCTATGGTGAGTTTTGAGATAAGTAGGTACAGATCATTATTTTTAACTAAATATCAATATTGCTACAGATAATCCCATTGAAGCACATGGGGCAGTCCAGCCACCTCCAACAGTCGAACCACCTCCAGCAGTCGAGCCACCTCCAGCAGTCCAGCCACCTCCAGCAGTCAAGCCACCTCCTGCAGTCTATCCACCTGCAGCAGTTCGGGCACCAGCTACGAAGAAGAAGTTGACTCTGGCGGCATCTGTACGAACTTTAATGGACGATGCCACCAGAGATTAAAAAAAAACAACGCTTGAAGAAGTAAACGAGAGTTTAAAGCAACTTGTTGAACTTGAGCAGGAGAAGGTCAAGGTGAAGAAGGAGAAGCTGGCCATTGAGAGGATGAAACTTCAAATGAAGTACCCCGACACAGAATTTGTGTTTGATACTAATTGTGATTAGTAAATGTATAAATTGTACCTATATATGTATTAAAGTTTTCTTTTTGTATATATTGTTTATTAGACATTGTTGAAGCATTGTAGTTGCAGTTTCGTTAACGATTTGCAAATTATCTGACTTTTGTGAAGGAAGTTAGGTATTTGATAAGTTCTATTTATTTTGTTAGTTGCAATAAACGTATAATTTATCTAAAGTGCTGCATTATCACTTGATTCCTTATTCGTCGTCCTTGCTGTAGCAAATTTTCTTCATTTTCAATTATGGGATGTTGTTGAGGTTGATCATCATACACTAAAAATTAAATTAATAAATAATACATTTTTGTGAGTTGCATGCTTGCCTATCTGAATATTGTCATATACAATATTCCTCATCCGCAAAATATTATGTAATATCGCACAAGCATACACAATTTTGGCAGCAGTAGGTGGAGTATAATGAAGCACACGATCTTTAAGTAAACACCTAAAATATGCCTTCAAAACCCCAATACACCTTTCAACAGAATTTCTGACTGTTTTGTGGCTGTCGTATACCGACCTTCTGGGGTTTGTGGATTTGCTCCTTCAATAGGTGTGAGAAGAAATGGTTCCAATGGGTAGCCCGAATCACCTAATTAATGTTTTGTTTTTTCAAGTGATGGATATATTATTGTTTAAATAGGTATATTTACCGAGGAGCCATGATGATCTGTCCCCATTTTCATAAGCGTCTCTCATAATTTGCTTCACACCACTCATCATCCATATCGCGGAATCGTGGACAGAGCCAGGAAATCTGGCATTGATGGACATAATGTTCAAATCAGAATCACAAATCTGTGGATAAAATTTATGTCATCGTTTTAAATCAACTATTACCATTACTGTTAATTATTTAATTATTATATTTACAATTTGACAATTCAACTCATGTATAAAAAATGTGTGGTGTCACACTATGCGTTTTTACCGCTCCCGCTAAAACGGATGCGGTTTGACAGGATGAGATCTACTTGTCACACTATTCCGGTTTAACGGGATGCGTTTTTGCTATACTTTGGCAGTCTAAGTAGTGTCATGTCTCAATTATTGTTAAAGATGGTTTGTGCGCTTGAGGCGGAGGGGCTATTGCGAAAGCAGATATATTGTCAATATTAGATTGATCCTTTTAAGTCAGGACGAGAATCTAATAATAGGTTCGCGAAGTTTTATGAAAAAATTCGAATGAACAAGAAATTTTTTTTTGTATATTACCGAATGTCCAAAAATTCAATTTCTACCCATGATTTCTCCCTACAGCTTTTATCTACATACTCTTTAGATTGTTTTTCCCACAGTGCAGTTTTTGCATGCACGCACTCGATGAATAAACCGACATCAAAGATTGTAAACCTAACAAAACACCCGGTTGCAACGCTCAGTGTGACAACTGATGACGACCAACGTGCAACAACACGTGGTTTCATGTCATTGGGGTTGTCATGTCATCCTGCGCAGCGGCAGCAGGATGCGGTTGCATCCGGTTGGTGCGGCGAAAACGCATATATGTGACTAGTACCATTTAATAACGTGTGATATTATCATCCCGTCAAACAGGAGCGTTTTAGCGGGAACGGTAAAAACGCATAGTGTGACACCACACAATCGCATAAGCCGCAGTGCAATTGTCACTTTGACAGCGGCAAAAGTTACCTGCAACTTTTCCAGCGACAAATGCACTAGTGGTTTTTTCACTTATTCATTTTCGCACCAATTATCGCATTATCCTTTCCCATATGACTAGTTTGACGTCTGTCAATAATTGACTAGTTTGGTGAATTTCTTGTTCGTTAATTTGTCCTGCCGAATTACACTCGAGGTTTGCATTTAAACCGAGTAAATTTGGGTTGCTGCAATTCAAATCTGTTTCCTTTTAGCAATTGAACTCGAAAAACTGTCAACCTAAAAATGCTCCACCTTCGGTGTCGCATTTTTATTAGTTGACAGTTTTTCTCGTCTAATTGCTAGGCAACAAATTTTCATTACCTTAACAACCCAAATTTACTCGGTAAAATACAAACCTCTTGTGCAATTATAAGTGACAATTCAAGGAATGTCTATGATTTCTATTGATAAAAATTCGACCAGGATATGCATCATGCACTGCTGGAGGTGGAACAATCAATATATGGGTTCCGTCAATACATCCCACTATTCCTGGGAAGCCAAACTTTTCAAAAAACCTTAAAATTATTACATCAGAATTCAGATGGTTAATAAAAATGATTTCTATCTGGAATAGGCTGGGGAAAAAAAGAACTGACCATATTGCATAACTGTTTAAGTTATTCCCTACCCTCTTTTAACTCTGGTTACGTCTGCCATATTTCTAGGAAATCGTATGTAATTTGCAGCTGCATGTTCCAATAAAGTGTTTATAATCTGATTGATACTTTTGCTCATTCACTTTGTGAAACACTGCAGTGCTGATCTTTGCCTACAGATTTCTGGTAGCTGCCTTGTGCAAAGAAATGTAGGGCTGTTATAAACTGGAGAGTTTTAAAAATTGAAAATATTTAACTTGTGGTTAATATAGGTAATTCACATTCATACCCGAACAACTGATGGAATTTTTGTAACTCTTCTACCCTGGTCCATGTGTGGTAACAATTCCAAATACAGATCCCTTGCAGCCTCTTTACTTAACCTATACATTTTTCTGAAATTTTCTTCAGGAATAAAGAAAGGATCATTTGTGTCCCTCAAATACTTGCACATATTTCGACCTCGTTCTCTGCAAAATTAAAACAAATAATTTTGCAATAATAGTAGGTAGCAATAAACTAGGGTGAGGTTAGGGCTAGCACCTACATAAAAACTCCACCTACCTTCGTTCTAGCTCTGCTAAAATTTCTAACAAGTTGTTATTCCTATCCATCACTAATTATTATTTTACAATACACGATTAATTAATTATTAATAATTATTGTGACAGTGATATAAAATGCGTCGTCAGTTTTTAAAGATCTACCGTTTGTCCCTATTTCGATCGGCAACGAGTGCTCTGAGCGGTACCGTTCATGAACGATCAAATCGTAACAACTTGATCGCTTTGTAACGATCTCGCTTAGTTACAAAATCGGTTTTCGCTGACAGATCGTTGGCGGAACGAGAATCGAATTGTAACGATATCGCTACGAGATATAAAATAGGCCTGTTAATGCCTGTCAGTTTAATATTTTCAATGAAATAGCGATAGAGAGATTTGAACTGCGTACCAGCGACACGAGGATTGCGAGATTGTCATGGACGTGGTCTTAATTGTATTTTTCTGTATATGGCACTATAGCCTCTAGCAGGTCCTTTCAATTGTGAATAGATTTTCTTATTGGAGGTGACATAATCAAACGTATTAAGTTTGAGACGACGTACTTAACGCCGTTTGTATGTGCACACTGTATATAATGTAGCACATGATTACGAATCATTTTGAAGATTTTGTAATGGTACTGCTGCGATTCCAAAAATTTTTACTCAAGCTTGTTTTGAATTTGTCGAAAATGTACCAAGCTAAAGTAAATAATGCAAAAACCACCGAAACTAATATACAAACTTTCTTATCAAAGTTAACTGCCAAAATTTCCAATGACGAAATTGCTTTTCTGTGTGGAACAGTCCACAATATGATGTCCCGTGTGCAAATTTCCGTTCCCTATACAAGATGGTCATCGGTGGCACAAACTCGTATAGGATATGGAAGCAGTGAATGTATTTACATATCCTATCCGATTTCGTGATCGTCATCAATAATGTGTAATATGAACATTGCACTATCCTCATTTGCATTTTCAAAACATTGGAACCAAGTAATAAAAGGCATTTTGGATACAGAAAAAAAATAATGAAAAGTATGAAATATTTTACGATTTTTTTGGATCTTGGTAATTCCGTTGGACAATCCAGTTTGATTTTGTAACTTTTGAATTGTCTTTGATCATAACTGCATCTTCTTCGCAAAATTCAGGTCTAAATTTTGTTCGCAGTTCTACATTTTTCTTTGCGTCTTTTTCACATTCTTTTATAACTTGACACTGTTTATCAAATATATGCTACCATGTATGTACCATTTGCGTCCTCACACATGGCAAATAAAAATGACTAATCCGAAAGTAGGTACTAGCAAAGCACACAGCACAGACGAACCAACTTAATTCAGTGAACACTAGCCATCAGTAGAAGGACAAGTGCAAATGGCGTGATTGCAAGATTCATAATGGATTGCAGTTATCGAATATTGCGCTAGCAAATCACGAAATCGGATAGGATATGTAAAAACATTCACTGCTTCCATATCCTATACGAGTTCGTGCAACCGATCACCATCTTGTATAGGGAACGGAAATTTGCAACCGTGTACAGTCGTGACTCCCACGAATACTCCCAAGCAAATTTGCTGTCAATGTAAGAAATTCCACTAGAAATCAAATATAAATTTTGTGGAAGGTTTTTTTTGGTATATTTTCCTTCAGTGATTGGCCGGAGGGTCGATAGTAAAGACCGGGTGGTCCAATAACTAAATTTAAGATAAAAGAATTCCACCTCATACTAAATTACAATTTAAAAATGGAAAGTTAAAAAAACCGGGCATGGTTCGTACCAATTTTAACCAAAGACGAATAAGTTACTTTGGCAGAATGATTTTTCGAATACCATAGAAAAGGATTTCCGAAAAGAAAGACAGAAGTGTTATGGGAAATTTCGTTGATACGAAGCCAATGTCAAACCCATTTATGGATAATTGTCCAGGGAACACGGTGGTATAAGTCGAAATTCAACATCGAGACGCCAATAAAATACGGGATAACATTTGTAGAAGTTTAGTTAGAAAAACCAATAATTAATTGAAGGGGTGAGTGGATGAAAGAGGTATGTAACAGAAAGTGAGTTTTGAGATATTTTACCTCAAAGTATATTTCACCTTCGTTGAAAGGTCAAAACGGGTTATGAACATGCAATTGAAAATTCGGTCACATAGTTATTCAAAACGATATACTTTTCTTTTTCTACATATTAATTTTTGTATGTTTTTTGAAACCAAATATGTCCCATATTAAGTTGTTTCATTGCCTTCTTGCAGCTCATAGAACCACTTATGTTCTGGAACGAAACGAAGTTGCTCTCTCAAGTTTTCAATTTTCTCTGCTGATAATGAGCCAGTTTTTGTAGAGTCTGGGAATTTCAAAATCTTCGGAAAGACAGGAGGGCTTTTCCACATTTTTTTGGATGTCGGCTTTCTTGAAGGGAGTGTAATAATCAAAACTCTCTTTGAAGAGGTATGACCCATACGTATCTACACGGATCCACTTAATCCCGTCTCGAAAATGTACTTTTTCATTTAGAATGTCTTTTTTTCTGTTCATCAGTTGCATTTTGTTCGGTAAATTCTCACTATTTTTAAAATGATGTTGCATATCAATAACCAGACTATTCTTCTTACTGGCAAAGGCGATAATTTGACGGTATTCTTGTGGTGTACAAATAGTTTGGTGTTTCCTCAATCTTTTCTGTATGCGACCAAAATCTTGGCCTCAATCTAAGTATGTGTGGCCCACTTCAGGAAACTTATGACCGATTATTTTGAATAGTCCCCTTGTCGCAAGATACTGATAAACACACAGCATAAGAAAGTTTTTATTCTGGCCTGCACAAGAATCTGTCCATATTATCAAATGATTTATTTGTTTAAGTGTCAGTTCAACTTCAATTGTTCTTAAGAGACAACTGGCGATCTCGCTACTACCTTTGCAAGCTTGGCGTAGGTAAAATGCTTTGGACGTACTCAGTTTAGGCAAAGGCATTGTTTGTTGAAGGTCAAATGTTGTATATGCAACGGTCATTGGTGTTTTTGGCTAGCCCCTTATCGGCATCCTGAGCTGCAAAAGCTAATCTTTTGTTGCGTGTTCTTCATCTGCAGCACCAGAATCGCAAGTGCTACATGTGTCACTTTTCGGATGTCCGAACGATAAATTAAATTCATTATTGAAGATATTGCGGTACGTGCACTCTTTAATTTTGAAACGACTGTGAACTTGATCAGCATTGCATTTCTCAATATAGAGTTTATGCATAATAGGAAGTGATAATATGGGAGACAGATATTTTTTATGGACATTGCAGTTTCTTGAATAATGCGATGATTCGGAAGGAAAACTTGAAATATGCCCAATTATGTAAGCCACAACATCGTTACCAATTTTGTTGGGTCTATTGTTATGTTTAACTCTTTTGTCTGGTAAAGGAGCAGATAAACCCATCTGTATTTGCTTCTAGATTAATCAAAATTTCGTTGCCTCTTTCTACTTACTTTCATTTTTGGTTCAAAATGTTTCTTTTTGTGCTGTATGCAAAATATGCTGTTCTACATTCTGGTTAACATTATCTTCATTAGATATTGCTTGTGGTATCGGTATGTTGTCATCCTTCATTTCTTCTATTATATGGTTCTGCCCTTCCATCAATGCGTCATCACTCGTTGTATCCATTATTAATCTCTGTCCTCATTGCTTTGTGACAATACTTTTTTCTTTCTTTGCAGCCGATATCTTTGGGTTTATTTTTTTTCTGTTGGCCTTCCCGGACTGATCAGGTGTTGGGAGTGCGTGATGTGGAAGGCGTGGATGATGATGGTGTCACCTCATACATTTCTTCCTCAGAATCACTAATACATTCCCCATCTGCAACATTATCACCTTCATCCTCAGCGTCTACATTACTGATCTGCATAATAGATATTTGGCCCAGTCAATCAAGGTTAAATAAAATAAAAAATTGGTCAAAAATACTCTTTGAGCCTTCCTCTTGAACATACCAAAACCTCATATGTGGGGGGTGCGGTTTTTCTATTTTTATTTAGCGATTTTGGTAGTAGACTGATTGGGTTAACTAGGATATGTAAGTATAATAGGTGGGTACAATTTTGATTGCAGATTTTTAGCAACAGGAAATACATTTAGAACCACAGCGATGAGCTATCGGCTTGGAGAGGCAACGGTACGAGAAATTGTGCATCATACTTGTGATGCCATATGGAAAATTTTACAACCTCTTATGATGCCTTCACCAACAAGAGATGTTTAGGAAAGGAACGAGATCGAATTCAACAAGCTCTGGAACTTTCCAAATTGTATTACTGCAATTGATGGCAAGCATGTCATTAACTGATAAACCTCCAAACAGTGGTTCCTTATACTATAGTTATAAAAAAAAATTTTCAGTATTGTTTTATTGGCGTTTGTTGATGCACACTGTAGATTTAATGCCATTGATGTGGGAGCATATGGCAGAAATAGTTATGGAGTGATCGAAACTCCGCTATAGGCACTCATATAGCAGAGACAAAACATAAACTAACATTAGACGACACCCAATTACTATATCAAACAACCTCATATAATAATAATGAATTTATTGTCTAACAGCAAAACATGCCAATTCTAAGGCAATGTAGAGAAATTACAAACATATACATATAAGAAACTCAACATTCTTGAACAGTTCGCCATACACTCAGCCTTACAACAACCAAAAAACTTCCTACTAAACGACCTTAAAGAATTCCCGGAAAGACACCTGCACAAACTTCTCACACCCAGCCCTGCATTAATATAAGGGGCCACTATGGGCCCACAGCGGCAAAAATTTTAAGGCGGCAAATTTTCCTATAAATTGCTTTGCTTGAAAGTTTGAGACATTTTTTTTGACACAGACGCAGCCGCAGAGGCGGAGAGAATAACCGAGAACGTAAACTCGTTTAGTTTAGTATTGTACTATTGTCTTAAGAGTCTTCTTTACCTAACCGCAACTTTTTTACATTATAGTGTATAGATGATTATAGCTGCAAGAGATAAGATGATATTCTTGCTTTGTCAACTCCTGTCTTGGTCCTTAGTTAGTTCCCACCGACACTGTGCAGCGGCGCCACTTGTTACACTCAAATTGATGATTTACCGCCCGCCAAGATACAGACTTTATTTACAAAAATTATGATTTCATTTTTTGGGGTCATGTTTAGAAGTAACTTATCTAAAAAAACTGTCGGTTTACTTTTTCCATAAATCGTCTTGATCGAGAGTAAAAAAATAAAACAGATTAGCGCAATAATCGGTGCGAAACATCTAATTTTTAAACAATCTGTATTCAGTTGCTATAAACTTAAAAAAAAAAATAGTCCGAACATTTTGTAGATAAAGGTCTAAATTTATAAAATAGTTCTTAAAAAAAATTGTTTTTGTAAAAACAAATAGAGTTTTTATGGCGGGCGCTCTTATGGAAATTTACATTGGGTGCAGTGGGTACAGAAGACTCTTAACGGTGCGGTGGGTAAAAACGTGCGCGCCTGGCGATTTATTGTTTACAATTACACGATACCCAAACGTGACACGGGACACGAACACTGTAGTTACGATTCGTAAAATTGTGTTTTGCGGATTTGTTTTAGTGAGTTAGAGAAAGGTTTTGTTTTGTGCTTCATGACTAAGTAAACTGTTTCGAATGATCGTTTCCGTTTGTCTGCAATCATCCATGTAATTTGTACTCATAGGCTAATTATTTTATTGCCAGTGCGCAGTGTGGAATTTCTCTTTTATGTCAGTGTTTGTGCTTATACGGCCTAGGTACAATAAGATATGGATGGGCGTAAGAGATTTTTCCTCGTTTGCTCAATCATGAAGAAGATCATAACGGGTGTACAGTTAGATTCGCGGATATGAGACACAGAAATAAAGTTCAAGCATAAAGTGAGTTGGCAAAAAATCCAATGTCAAGGTGGTATGTTTAAATGTGCGCTTGTGGACACCAATACGCTAAGCAAAGGGCAAAAAAGGCAAAAGAACAAAATGATGTTATAAGCAGAACTGCTAAGATCTCTGCTAAGATAGACAACTTTTTTATACCTGCGGCTGCATCAAGCTTTCTTTCTACAACTACAAGTACCACTGATATTGACAATGAAGTCACAGCAGATACAGTTGCTTATAATTAGAGAGAGGAAGTTGTGGCATTTGCAATTTGTGTCTGGTTCCTTGTAAAGATTTTCTAATAACAGACTTTCACCAGACTCAATAAAAAGAAGGCATTAACCAAATTTTATTTTGCAATTTTTGCAATTTTCCATGTTAGTGCAATTTTTATGCAATACTCCTTAATTTAGTGCAATTTTTCGCGAATTCAACTTTAGTCAGATGATATTAATGAATGAATAATGATCCTCACTTAAATATGTTTAGCTGGTTATGAATTGCGTCGGCTGAACGTAAAACACGTACGAGATAGCAGCACAAAAATAATCTCAGTAACTTGAAACCTAAGCAGGGAACATATTACAATAATTGCATTTTATATAGACTGCCAGTGCGAGTGAATACCTTATAAAAAGTGTAGGTGGTATTGTTAATCCTATATTTCTGTTAAAATGCCGAAAGTTGCTTCATCAATTTCCCAAAAATTGCAAGAGTAGATTGGTCCTTATAATAAAAACGCGGAAGTATTTACTTCAGATGGCAAAATTATATTTTGCAATGTCTGCTCTAAATCCGTAGGGACAGGAAAAAAATATTTTATAGACGCCCATGTTAAAACTGGTAAGTTTTAAACTGTATTTATTTCTCGTTCGTTGCTGATCTAGTGACATTTTATAGAAAGCCACATACGCGCATTGAGTAAAAATGTGAAAAGCAAACAAACTTTGCTGACCATACCTGCCTTGACTTCCAGTGATAAAAGAAATGAATTTTACGAGGATTTATGTGGTGCACTTTTGGGGTCCAATATACCTTTTTACAAAGTAAATGCGGAACCTTTCAAACAATTTCTGGAAAAGTACACAAGTCGTCACGTTCCAGATGAAAGTACTTTAAGGAAAACATACCTTCCAACAGTATTCCGGAAGAAAATGGAAAATATTAAAACTTCCGTTGGGAATAGCTGTGTGTACTTAATTGTAGACGAAACAACAGATTCCAGAGGCTAGTAGAATTTTCACAATATCTTTTTTTTCTGAAATTTCATTTTATAGGTTTCTACATTGCAAATTTGCTGGTTGGCGTGTTAGACACTGATGAACCCCAGAAACCATTTCTCATTGCTTGTAAACGTCTGCCAACAACTAATTTTGAAACAATATGTCAGTTTATAAACAAATCTCTTACTGCTTTCTCGTCTACCATTAATGGGCGCGTTTTACTTTTACTTACCGATGCAGCGCCTTATATGGTTAAAGCTGCAAAAACTGAAGGTTTTTTATCCAAATTTATTACATGTTACATGTCTAGCACATGGAATAAATAGGGTTGCAGAGGTTGCCAGAGAACTGTGCCCTGGAGTTAACAAATTGGTTAACAATGGTATTACTATATTTAAGTTTTAGTGCTTGTTTGACCGTGGGATCTTTTAGGAAAGAAAGCGTTCCTTAAAGCACCTTCACGTGTGGCAATATACCAAGAAATTATGCCAGATTCGCCTCTTCCTCCGGAGCCAATAATTACTCGTTGGGGTACTTGGTTGGAAGCAGCGATATTTTACGCCAACAACTATGAAAAATTTGCTGCAGTTGTTAGGAGGTTAGAGGATGACGCAGAATCCGTAAAAAAATTAAAACTCTTAATAGAAGAACGAAGCGTACAGAATGAATTAATATTTATTAAAACACACTTGTGCTTTCTCCCTGAGTGTTTGAAGCAATTAGAAAATCAAGGAATGTCACTATATGACAGCATATCTATCGTGCAAGACGTAAAATCCAAAATAATACGTATTCCTGGCGAGAAAGGAAAACGGCTGAAATCTAAATTAGACAATGTTTTAGAAAAAAATGTTGGATTTAAAACGCTTGAACAGTATTCAACAATTTTAACTGGTGATGGGGAAAGTAATGAAGACATTAAAGTGGAGATGATTCCAAAATTTAAATATGCACCCATTACTAGTGTAGATGTCGAACGTTCATTTTCCATATACAAGCACATTTTAGATTCGCGAAGGTGTAATTTCACCGAAGAAAACTTAGAAATGTATATAGTGTGCAATTACAACGCGTAAATCGTTAGCGATATATTTAGTAATAAGGCAATACTAATAATAAGTAATAAATAAAAATAATTAATAAAGATTAATAACTTGCAATTTTTAGTTTATTTAGAGCAATTTTTCCTTATTTTGGTTGCCATTTATGGCGCAATTTTTGTGATTTTTAGTGCCACAACTTCCGCTCACTACTTATAATAGTGGTATTGAAAACACACTTTCTCAACCTTCAACTTCATTGCAAGAAGAAGCTAATATTAACGAAAAATATGACACTTCAGCTGATAAAGAGTGGTGTTTGCGTTTTCGAACCTTCTGAATGGGGCGTGGATAACGAGACTATAAATTTTTTAATAAAAAATGGAATCAACCAAAACTTGGATTCCGATTTTACAAAATCAAAGCGAGTCTACTCCGATAAATCACGTTTTTTATCAAAATCACTGTTCACGAGAACTATGTCGAATGGGGCGAAAATAAATCGGCAATATTTGATATATTCTCCAAAGGTTGGGGCAGTATATTGTGCTCCTTTGTAAACTTTTCACTAATGAAAAGAATCAATTTTCAGAGGGTTTTTCCGACTGGAAATACGCAGAACAAAGAGTACAAGCTCATGAAAATTCGGCACTTCATAAACAATGCGAAGTTATAATGCTCAAGCGTGGAGAAACATGTGGAATAGATGCGTCCTTGAAAACACAGTTAGAAGCAGAGGAAAAATATTGGAGGAATGTTCTCATGAGGGTTGTAACTGTCGTAAAAAAGTTATCTAGTCGGGGTTTGGCATTTCGAGGCTCCGATGAAAAATTCGGGTCACTGTCTAACGGAAATTTCATGATGTCTTTGGAAATGATTGCGGAATTCGATCCCTTCTTAGCTGAACACATTTCTAAGTATGGAAATCCAGGCCGAGGAAAGTTTTAAACAATATTATAAGTGACATTAAGAAAAATAAATATTACTCGGTGAGTGTTGATTCATCTCCTGATATTTCTCACGTTGATCAATTGGCTTTTGTTATCCGTACTGTTACAAAAGATGGCAATCCTGTAGAACGCTTTTTAGGATTTAAAAACAATGTGGGCCATAAAGCCGAACAGTTGATTAATTCTCTTTTGAATGCCTTAAGAACTTGGGACATTGACATAAAAGACTGTAGAGGGCAGAGTTTTGACAACGCCAGTAATATGTCCGGTGCGTATAGTGGGCTACAAGCGCGTGTAAAAGAACTTAATAGCTTGGCAACGTATGTACCTTGTTCCAGCTCATTCGCTTAATTTGATAGGTGTTCATGCTGCGGAGTGTTGTAGTGAAGCTCGCCAGTTTTTTGACATTGTTCAAAAAATTTATAATTTTTTTTCTGCGTCCACGCATAGATGGTCCATTCTGTGTTCCAAACTTAAAGGAAATCCTGTTGTGAAAAGTCTTTCTGCAACAAGATGGGCTGCTAGAGCGGATGCGTGTAGCAGTTTGCACAGAAATTATGATGCAATTTACGATTCGTTAACTGCAATATAGCTGGTGATAATTCTGAAAAGCCTATCACTCGTTCTGAAGCTGAAGGTCTTATTACTCGTTTAGAACAATTTGAAAATGCTGTGCTAACTGTTATGTGGTTGACACTGATGGAAAGGTTTTATGCAGTGCAGACTAAGGTGCAGTCTGCAAATATGTGTTTAAATGAAATCGTCGACCTGTATGACTCATTGTCAAAATTTGTACCCTCTTTGCGAGAGCAGGGGATGTTTGAGCATTTTGAGAACGAAGCGTTAAAAATATCAGTGACCTCTGATGGGGAATATGACGCATGTAAGAAAAGGAAAAAAAGAAGAAAGCTACAAAGTGACGAATCGAGAGAAGGAGATATAGAATTGAATGGAAGGGAAAAGTTTAAGGTTGAAACGTACTTAACAATACTACACAAAATCGACTCCGAGTTAACAAGGCGTTCTGCCTCCTACAAGGAAACATGGGAGAAGTTCAAAATATTGGAATGTGTTTATAAAAAGGAAACTCGGGAGTGTGACCTTCTAAAATACGCGAAGAACCTTATAAGCGTTTATCGAAACGATTTAGAAGACTCCTTTGTGCAGGAGTGCCTACATTTTCATTCATATGTCAAAGAAAGGGCACATTCATTTGTAAAATCTTCAAAAAATGGCGAAACACTGTGTTTCTGTTTATGTGAACAAGGAATCACAGAAAATACAGCTCACAGCGAAGAAAATATTATTATACAAATTGCTAAATTGATAAGATCCGGTGACTTACAAAATGTGTTTCCCAATATGGATATTGCATTCCGAATTTATCTTTGTCTTTTTTCAACAAACTGCTCAGCGGAGGGATCCTTTTCGGCAATGAAGCGGATAAAGAACTTTTTAAGATCAAAAATGTCTAATGGAAAATTCAATCATTTAGCCATTCTGTACATCGAAAGACAGCTAGTAAACGACTTAAATTTCGATGACATTATTTCTGACTTTTCTTCTTTAAAATGTCGACGTAAGAGACTTCAGCACTAACCACGGAGATTTAATATTGTGTTGTGTTTATAATTATATTGTTTTACTATTTCATTTATGTATATTAAAGTTTTTTTTGCATAATTACGTTATGGTCATTATTATATATGTGCCCACTTAAAATAGGGGGGCGTTCACAGGTTATGCCCACAGCGGCAATTTGATTTAATCCGGCCCTGCTCACACCCGTCACTAATGATCATACTAAAATTTCACCATACCTGAAACCTTATTACAGCACTGGTGCTCACACTCCTAAAAGCAAGTACGCCACTGTATAAAATTCACGAACATTCTGCCCTACTAAGCACAAAGGGGGTAACTGCAATTTTTGGGGAAATTGAGAAATCGATGCCAAGTGACTCCTTGCGGTTTAATGTGCCTAATACTAAGGTATTATAGTTGTATCTTCGCCTGAATATTAACAAACATGCGTATTTCGTTAGCCGTAACTACCTTTTTTGCTTGAATTACTAAAGGCTTTGGGAGTAAGTACAGATTACTAGACAACTGCAGCCGTAACTACTGCAGATAAGGCGTTTTGCCTTAGCAAACGTCACATACTACATTTTTTGCTTTAGTAAAGTATCACTTGCCCCCATTATACTCTAGTAAGTGGACGTCATTTTTAACCTTAATAAACAGCTGCAGTAAATTAATAAGTGCATATCAGGCAGCGTCAGTGACTGTGTTTCTGAGTATTATTATTATAATTAATAATAAATTCACTTCGTTACATTTACATTGTTGGTTTAACTGATGGCTTCACGAGGTAAACATTTAGTGAGTTTGTGTATTGATCAACGAGAAAAGTTGAAAACGGCTACGGTGACAAGTACTTCAAAAGCTAATACCGCCTCCAACAACGCAAACCTTCATCAAGGCAACTCCAACGATCCTCGTAATGATTTTAATCTATCTGAAGCTAAAGATACGGAAACTGATCATTTATTAGGCGATAGTGATTTGTGTGTTTCTGCGCCTACCACCAGTGCAGCAGCAGTTATACCTGATGGCATATATATAATTAACGATAACGGATATTTGGATCCAGTTATTGACTATATTGAGACTGAAATAGATGTTGATGGTATTCAGATAGATGGTCTTCAGTTACCTTTCGATGAAATACGTACAATTAATCAACCTTGCATTTCTTCAGCTGAGGATAACCAAAATTTCAACAATGGTATGTATCAGTATTAATGTTAGTCCGAGTGTTAATCCAATTGAATTAGGAGCAGAAACTGAAGTTACATCAGATAATCCTACTGTAAATAAGGTTGTTCCTGAAACCCCTAGTGATCCAATACCGGAAGCTCAATTAGAAATTGATTGTGGACTTACCAAGACTGGAAACCCAAGAAAGAGAAAGAAATATTTGTTGTCGCGAACCGAAAGGAATACAATTAAGAAAAGAAAAGCAATGGAGGGGCACAATGTAAAACAATCATGTCCAGTTACCTGCAAAGTCAAATGCTCTTCAATTATAACTCCTGAACGACGAAAAGAGATTAATAAACAGTATTGGTGTCTTCCTACAACACAGGAAAAGAAAACATTTGTTCTGAGTTCCGTAAGCAAAAAGCCGGTAACCAGACGAACAACATGCAGTCCAAACTCAAGGCGTTCTTTTACCAATGAGTATTTTCTAAAAAATGCGGATGGTACCTCACTACGCGTGTGCAAGACGTTTTTCTTAGCTACATTAGGCTATGAAAAAAATAATGACAAAATCTTGCAGAGCCTTTCTAAGCAAACGACCAACATTTCATCCAGTCATGATAAAAGGAAAGGGCGCATTCCAGCAAACAAAGTTGATCATGAGGTTATTGTAAAACACATCGAATCTTTTGAACCCTCAATTTCTCACTACAGGCGTGAGCATGCGCCTAACCGTAGGTATTTACCAAGCGACTTAACCATTACAAAAATGCACGAAGATTTTGTAAAAAAGCATCAAAATTTTAAATGTTCTTATGATCTGTATAGAAGTGAGGTATCAAAGTTAAACATCTCGTTTGTGAAACTTGGTCATGAACAATGCGAACTATGTGAACATTTTAACCTACATGAGCACAACAAAGAAAACGTACAAATTGAGAACTGTGAAACTTGCAAAATCTACGATTCTCACATTAAGAATGCTGGTGCTGCAAGACAAGACTACAAGAATGACTCCGCTAAGGTATCAAATGAAGATGAAATTATTTACTCTGTCGATATGCAAAAAGTCATAATGCTACCAAGATGTGACATGTTCAAAAATGTCATTTTTACCACAAGGCTAACTGTATATAATGAATGTTTTGTTCCTGTTGGGACCAAATCGAAACGTCCAACGGTGGCATGTGTATGGCACGATGCAATTCGGGGAAGGAATAAAGAAGAGCTAATTAGCACTGCATACAAATTTTTTTTAACTGAAGGACGTGATGTTAAAACCATAATTCTGTGGATGGACAATTGTTCCTCGCAGAACAAAAACTGGGCATTTCTTACACATCTTGTTTTTTGTGTCAACTCAACTGAAATATCTGCTGATACAATCCACATAAAATACTTTGAAACAGGA